AAAAAAAAAATTAAATTAAATAATATTCAAAAGTTAGTCCATTTGGTTTGTTGTAGAATTTTAATTATGCTTAAACTTGCAATGAATCGATTTATAATATTTGAAATTCGTTTAAAATTTAATAGTTATAGCATGACCCAAAAACCTTTCACTTTATTATTCGCGCGTTATCACTTCATAGATTTCATTAAATACAACATTATTCATTAATTTACATATTTACGTAAATATCTGAAAATTTGTTATTTTAATCTTTTTCTTTATTAAATTCTAATATAACACTGTAGTGTAGTCTGAGTAACGAGGAAAATTAACAGAAAATCCCAAGAAACGCCTATAAGGAAGATCAGGTATCTTCTTTCGTTTTAATTGCACGGATGCTGCAAAGGTTTCTGGTTGTCACCACGCCGATATTGTTGCTTGTTCGATCCCCACTTGAAATAAAAATGTGTGTGTTTATATAAATATGTATGTATAAATATGTAAATATGGTAGGGCCACGCAACAATCTTCGCTGATGCACGAATGGGCAGGTCCTCACAAAAGCTGATAGTGAGACCCTGAGCTGCAGACAGGGGTCTAGTTGCTGCGGCACAGCACCATTTAGCCGGACTGGGTGGCCTAGCACCAGTGAACAGGAGGCCTAAGAAGGTCATAGTCGTGCCGGGGTTGCGGAAGATTGCGTCTACATGTTCCCGTGTCCCCGGCCGATGCGACAGAGACAGGTGCTACGTGGGGTTTTTAGTGGGTAGCCGCCTCCCACATACACAGTGGCAGGGGATCCATAAAGGATTTTTTCCCACGGAAAAAAAATAATCGTAGCAAATACATAAATACTAATATGGTAGGGCCATGCAACAACTGCTATTGCGCGAATTGGAAATATCACGGCCTCACAGAAGAGCAGCGTAAAGAAGAAGAAACAGTGTGAAAAAGAAGTTTTGTATCTTTGCGTTTTGTCTGGTTAGTGAGGTGATCAGCATTCCAAAGATGACCTTAGGAATTGAGGATTTATCTGCAGCCCCTCAGTTGTTGTAGATTTCCAAGGGTGGCAGTAATCACTTAACGGCGTTTGAACCACCTGCTCGATTGCTAACTGTTGATATAATAATAATAATATTTATTTTATATATATATACTATATTGTTTATTTTTTATTTATAATTATTAATAATAATAATAATATAATATTTCAGATAATTACTTAAAACAACACCACTGCGACGACCAAAACTTAAAATAAAAAAAAACTTAAACAGTACAATTTCAGTAATTACCGGGCTTGAGTTCAGTTATCTTATATTCATTGTGTTTGGCATTTAAGGGTTTTACACCAAATTTAATATGCGCCACAAACCAGTTGCATACAACATTATCCAACGTCTCGTATTTATCGATATCGTAATAACTTATATTTATAACTCATCATGTTCAAGGCAAAAAATAGCGCAAAAAGGAACAACGCTTTTGCCCATCAGCTCGTCGATTGCGACGCAGAACAGTGTCATTGGTATTATTTTTCTTATTTCCTCCCGTATTGAATAGAAAATATGATGAATAGAAAAATAAATCATCTACTAATACTATAATACTGCACTTACGAAACATATTGTGAAAAATGTAGTTATTAATACACATACGTATTAAACTATTCGTTTTATAGATATCTATCTATGTCAAAAGCATTTTTCTCCTTCTTATTTATAAACTGCCAAGCTTTGCAATATAATTTAATGAAAGGACTTAAAGATGAACGAAAAAAGTTTTCCTTATTAATTTTTACCCACCTTCGGAATTTTTTTTAAACAAATACATTTAATATATATTGCTTATATTGTTCAGTATGTATTATTTATTTTATAAAAGCCGGGAGCAATGAAGATAACGGAAATTTCTTTGCATTAGTAAGTATTCTGAATCTCTACTACCAGGCCAATCAAGTGTAGGCCTTTTACTCACAAGACAATGTAAAAAAAATATAGTTTCAGCGCCATTCTTAAATTTTGTTACAAAAAACAAAAAATACAAAATTTGTTTTCAACTGTCAAAATTCAACTTATTACATAAACATGTTTTAATGAAATAACTCCGCCATAAATTACCAAATATATAAAATCAATTAACCGTTAAAACGTGAAGAATATCCGAAAGAACAATTAACGTAAGTTAATCCGTGACGCGCGCCCGCCCACACGAAACAGGCAAAGAAAAAAAAAAACACGTCCACTAGCCACTATATCTTGTAAGAGACACGCACACAAAACAAGACTGAAGCGTCACTCACACAAGCGCAGCGCCCATTAGTATGTGAGGCGAGGACACTACGCGTGCTCGCCACTCGCTCCACGGCTTCTTATTATTATTATTTATCGTTGAATAATGTGAATGGTAATGCGTGGTTGTTCACGATCCCGCATAACACCTGCCGTCTTTTCCCACAGTCGAGCTCGGGCGAGACGCGCGCAGGAAGTGCGAGAGCGAGAGAGACGCAACGCTCGCGTGCAGTACACGCGCGGAGGCCGACACGCTGGCGCGTGCGAGCGAGACGACGAACAGGATAGATAGCTTATAGGTTGATTAAGTGCGTTCTTTTTTTAAAATCATTTTCGTCAAAATAAGAAGGCCAGATAAATATCGTGCACCGCTAAGTGATGTCATTTAATGTGGTCGAATGGGGTATAGCTTTTAAGCTTTTCTTATACGTACATAATATTATGTAGGCAGTTTGTTTCGTAGTTCGTAGCTTCGTAGCTTCGCTAAGACAACAGATTTTATGTCGGGGATTGGACAAATTAGTCTTAATTAAAACCATCGCGGGAATTGCAAAAGGCGACCTACCTCATTAAAGACAGATCAACTTATTACAAGCACGAGTAAAATATCATACGCATATTAATTTATGTGCCAAATTAATGTAGGCCGGTGTGCAAATTTGATAAATAATTCAACGGATAGATCAATAAAATAGGTTTTGATAACATTTTCGCCATGTTTATTTTTGTGACACTATGTTTTATAGACTGAAATAAAATGTTAAGGATCAAATAGAGGAGTAATTAATATTGATATATTGAACTTTTTCGTTCGGTTTTATGATACACATGAAATGTCAATATAATGTTCGTTGGCGTGCTTTTTACAGATATACTTATAGTATAATTAAACTAAATCACTTATATATTAGCTGTCTCATAATAAATGATAGAATAGTAAAGATGAAGTTTGTCTATTACACTTTACTAATACAAATGTGTTTTGGGAGCAAAAGAAGAATTACATTAGGGTATAAGGAACACTCGATATCAAATTTCACCGGTTTGCTCGAATACTTAGTAAAGCACACATCCTTATGCAAGTAAACATAGAAGACGGGACAATCTTCCTCTTACGGTTCATGCCATCAGCACACTGAAGATATTGCATTGAAATGGCCACTGCGTCTATAGGCACCCCGGATGTTCGCAATTTAGTTTCGTTCAAACCAATGAATGCAACCATAGTTGAATTAACAATAAAAATTGCTCATCCCGTGCGTCCAACTTTTAAGATAACCCGATTTTCGTCGAGTAAATCGATTTTCGCCCTTGCCACATATGCAGCAAAAGCTATATTCCAGGGATCGGCGAACAGTTCATTTTCTCCTGGACATCGCCTACCATGTAGGTCAGTTTATTAAATCGGGTTGTCAAAAACCGGATGGGCTGATAATGTTTCACAGATTTCTACAAAGCGTTGCAAAAAAATTGCAACACGAGCTTGGTGCGTTTTATTTATGCAACAGTATTATTAAATAATTATTTCTTGAATAAAAAAATGCATGGAATATATTTAAAATTCTTGTGATTATTTTATCTAAATTTTCTAAGTACGAAAGTGTCCGTTCCGGTACTGAAAACAATGAATTGTGCCCTATGGGAATTATAAAGTGTATTTTGGCCACTTATATCGCTTTTAGAAAATTAAAACGGCTTATTAAAAACAGCATGGTTAAAATTTTCGTTTATTAGTTGCATATTACTAAGTACGTTTAATATTTAAGTAACTAGGAAGTTTCGTGATATATCGAAACAACAAAATGTTCTTTGATAAGCTGTCTCGTCCTCTCAAATTTTAATAAAAGTTTAAAATGAAATGATCCGCGTTTGCCTTACGGCTCATTAGCGTTGGGCCCTCAATGACAAGGTTTTTGCGACATTTGGCCAGGAATACGGTCGGTGTGGCCGCCAAATGTGTCCACTGGCCAAGTAACTCGATCCACGAAAGTCGATATCTTTCGCCGAGATTCACATCATATGCCACCGCACATGGCAAGCCAAAGGTCGGCCTGATAGGTGGTGATTTATAAAAAAATAAACCGGTTCATAAAACACCGGATACTGCGTAATTTAAATCTTGTGCAAGTTATTTTTTACATAACGTTCCAAAAATGTCACTATCACGAAAAATTACCTAATATGGTTCATGATGAAACAAAATATTTTTTCGTGATATTTATCATAAAAGTGCCAACTAAACAAATAAACAGGCTCATTAAATGGTGTTATGTTATAAGTCATAAAAATTTACGACATTAACTCGTAGTAATAACGCATCGAGATTATAGCACGCCAAAACGTCAATGAATGTGCCGTCTCCAATTTATTTAATTGTAATCACGGGTCTCGAGTCGCCGGAAATTGCGACATAACGAGCAGCACTTTAACATACAGAAGCAATGCACCCTACCTTGATTATAAATCAACAGCAATATGACAACTTTATAAAGTGTTCGACGATCTTTCACCGGTTTACAAAATTAAACGTAAAGACATTTTTGTAAGTGATTAGATTAATCATTATATTATGTTTTGTTTTAAAAGCTATAATAACGGCAACAGAATAAATATAATTTTTTCACGCGCCCTTTTCACGGTGTTTGCAACTGTATTCGAAATTCGAACGTTCACAAATTACTGTTGCCCCGCGTTCTTTTATTGTCATTACGATTTTTTTCTCTTTTATTCGGATCGTGTTTCCTTATCTCTCGGCTTGTTTCTGCGTGCTCCGTCTCTTTCGCACCCGTGGCGTGGCGCGCGCGTTAGTAGCGTCTCGAGCACGTGCGACGCGTTAAAGGCAGAGCGTTCCCACGGTCGCGGGCTCGAGCCAGACGCCCGCCCCTCCCCGCGTCCGGCGCTCACCCCGCGGTCGCCTGCGGGCGTGATTCGGACACTCGTGCCAGCGAAACAAAGTGCCCTCACCGCGCGTTCCGATTGCAAAATGCCATTCGTCGGTTTCGACTGCAATGAAAGTGACGGACGATTTTCCGAATTGGGTAATCGCTGCAAGAAGTTGCGATAAGGAATCAGAGCTTCGACAATTTCGCCAGCATTTGTAGCATAAAAAGGAATACCTCATGAATAAATACCGATATAAATACATCCTTTACCACCTTGGTGGTTGAAAAAATGATAAATTCAATCAAATGAAATAGAAGGCCAGAAGGCATTAGCTGTTTTTCCAGTAAGACTCCGAGGATCATTGAAGAACAGTTAATAAAGTAGCTAATGCGATAACCGATTTAGTTATTATGAAAAAGTAAATAGATTATACGGGATTATCTCTACTTACCATTATCAAAATATTAAACTCGTCTCCTTTAATCTTAACACAAAATAAAAAAGCTTAAATTATTTTCTGAAGGTAATTAAGTTCAAGGGAGGTTGCGTAACGTAACTGATTTATCTTCGAAGCTCGATAAATTTTGTATACGGAGATTTATTGATAAGGTCTTATAACCTTACGCAGCCATGTTCATAGTGTCCTAACCCACCACGCCGTATCTTACATCGACTGGGGCTTACATTTCTCTTCCGCGTACATAAAAGAGGGTTAAAGTTTAAGCTACTCTGCTATTTCAACATTTAAAATTCGTTTTAAAACTTTAAAAAATTTTAAAACGAATTTATAATTGTGCTTGTAAATGAAGCATTTATAGACACCAATAACTGTTTAGGATACTTTAAGGTAAGCTTCTTCATTGGTAATTTTACATTGTTAAAAAAGTTTTCTATAGACATCAATAAGACTCGCAATTGACACGTAAATTAACCAAATTATAGGTAAACGTCTGCACTGGGTACGCCCGAAAGTTTAATATATAGGTTTGGTGTTGATTGTGAATTTTCGTAACTGAACTATTTAATGCAAGATGTTGATAAATTCCCATAAAGAAGTGCGACACGTGCACTATTATGAAGAGAATAGAATGACAGTCAAAGAATGAATCATTTCACTCGCCTCGCCATTACCGAAAGGTCACCGTTAATGCTTATTCACTACACAAAATTGTACGCTACACAAAACTACGCATTAGTTCCGTTCGACGTCGGCCAAAGATGTATGTCTAAACGAAATGCGATAAAGTCGAATATCAATATTCATTGTAGCTTTTTGTAAGGCCCATCGTCTGTTATAGGAATATGTGGTTTATCGTCTCTACTTTTAAGGGTCATAGTTCTGATACGGCGCCGAAGTGAGATTGTATATCGAAAGCCAGGAAGCACATTGTTAGGTCACGTTCTCACAACTCCCCTTATTCTTCGAGGGGGAATAAATAATTGCACTTTTTTCTGTCGCATATGGCCAAGGAAACGGTGGATTGTGCAAGATCGTTCCCACGGTACTCCCCATGGGCATAAAGGCCGATCGGGGTCAAGAAAAAATACGTGCCGGCATAATGCGGGGGTTTCTTTAGCCGCGGCAGATGCACGCCAAATCTAGGGTTACGCGTGGAATTGTGAAATTGTATTGATTGATGCGATATTGTTGAAATCTTATCGGATTTTTGTTATGAAGCATTTTTAATAATTATTAATGTATGTAGGTACTTTTAATATTACTCATATTTATTGTTGTCATGTTTTTACTCAAGTAATCATATGAATAGTTTTTAGATCACTCAGTATTTACTATTTTATAATTTTATATCCATGCGTAATCTTAAAACATTAATTTGTACGCCCATCCCCTGTCTATAATGAATTCAAATATATAGTTTTTTTTTAAAATACTTGTTAAAACAAAAAATAAACTCGAGCAACTCTTTAGAAACATATTTCCGAACCGGCGAAGCCGCGGGCGCGCGTTAGTGAGATAAAAACTTATCCACACCAAAAAAAGGAATTGCACCTTTTCTAAGGCGTCACTCTATATTTGAAAGCTCGTCGAGTTCCCACGATCGCTTGCGCCAGTTGCGCGTCTGCCCCTACGCTTTTTTTCTTACTATTATATTTATAGGCAATACCATTATAACGCTTGATAAATAAACAATGTCTTCTTTTTTTATTCAACAACACAACTAAGAGGTTATATTTCACGTATAATGTAGAGTAAAAAAAGCGGAATTCAAAGAGTGGATGGCTTATCATTGATTTTTAATTAACATTTTTACTTCATTAGGCTTTTAAAGATATTTAAGAATACTTTGAGATCAAATTGCCACACATCGTTTTATGGTAATAATTCGTAAAATTTTATGCGTAAGCAATTTGCGTTCTCGTCTCTATCAAAATAGGATTATGTTTATTCTATCTTCCAAAAAAAGATGACCATCGATTATAGACTTTAACGCCTGGTATTTTGATTTGTATTTCAATGCAGCGGGCAGTGTTGACAGTTAAAAGGTCGCCATTACGTGGCGGGACGCGTTCCCACGATCCACGCGACATATGGCGCGAGCGCGGGGCGTGCTTGCGCGCGATCAACGGTGACGCGTGGACAAAAAACCTCGCGCACTTAGCGGATCTTTGGGTGACGCTCTCGAATATTCTTATTAAACCGGAATAGACATTAGTTAAAATGCATCGTATTAAGGTTTGTAAAATGGAATGCGCTCCTGTATTAATGCATTGCGTTTAGGCAAATGTGGTTTTGTGTATTTTTGGATAACAACACGACCGATAAAGAAAGAAATCGTCTTTTATCCTTTTCTAAGATCTGTAATTTAAAAATGAACTTTTCATAAGTATGGTACTTAACGTTTTTTTTTGGATTTATGTGTAATATAAATATATATAACTCAAAAACATTGACGAATTAATGTGAAGCTAAAGTTGTTATTTTATATTAAAAAAAGCAAAAAAAATTGCCATTTCATTAAATATACGATTACAATACAACAGTAAACAAATAAAGGTCAAACGAATTGCTCCGAATTGTAGTCTCGAATCGAATGGGTAGTGTTTTATAGTACGAGGCAGGTGGCGCGAGGATCGTTCGAAGTTCGAACAACTGTCGCGTTTCCCACGGCCCGAACACCGGGCTCCCTCTATACGCACCTAGCGTGGCTCGTATGCAACTGTGTCAATTGCCAATGATTGTTAAGTTTTCATCAAAACATATTATGAAACATTTTTTTTAATTTTGTAGAATATATCGATGAAGATTAAATAATTCATGTTAGAAATGGCCTCAATTAGTAATACGGGTAAGCCCGTGTGTTATTATGAAATCAGGAAGAAAACTTTACTTACATTTTGCTTCGATTTAAGATTTGGCGAAAAAATTGTTTGTAGTTTCATTTATTTTTTAAATCGCAATTAAGTCTATTAAGTGATTAACATGGCCTCGATCTAATTCAAAGAGTGCCCAATGCAAAACAAATTTACTTGTTTTGTCACAATATTGGTATGAACGTTTAAATTTGATTTTATTCGTAGTACGACCAATGGAACGGAGTAATTTTTATTGCCAAAGTTTTATAATTATGTAGTTTATTGTAAAGCTTTGGCAATAAAAAAATTGTGTATTTAAATTGTTGTATCGCAAAAGCGTTCGACTAAGGTTACAAGGCGAAGTTTTCTGCGTCAGATGAAGCTTTAATAGTCTCGGGACTGAAAGCAAAAACATCAGTTAATACAAGATACAAGAAGGCGAAGTTCAGAGTAATGTTTTGAGCAATAATCCGTTCCCCTTCCAACATCAACCGTCGGGCTGAAGATGAATAGAAACAATGGCCAATTAAGCCATTGCTGTAATTGTTGCAGAAATGTCGGCGCACGGCGGACACGCGGCATCGCTCGCTTCTGTTTTGATTGCGCAATGTTACCGACAAATTTTATGTCTACGTTCATAGTAGGCTAATAATAAAGTGTTTTTAGTCACTATGTACAAATCAATATATTTAATATTATTGGCACTCAACGTTGACGTTTTGAATGTACGAATTATGAATTTGAAGTTAAGAATTACAATTTTAAAGGTGAAAACGCCTTACTTTAATAAATGTATAATTTATTGATAGTTAAACGATAATTATTACATTTGATTACGTCCCTTATTCAATACGTAATCAATAAAGCTACTGTATATCAGCGTCATCTATGAGGGACTACTGATAGTAACTTAGAGACTGCTCCCGTTTTTGCTAAGGGGAGACTGCAAAACAATAATTTTGCAAACAATAGAATCACTGCCAGGGTCAAAGTGTAAGAAGACACGTGAGAAACTCACAACAAGAGGGTGATTCACGTATATAATTTGTACACGTAAAGATTTCATGTTTAGTCATTTTCGTGATTCCAACCTGGAAGTAACGGTATTAGGATGATTGCGTCGTTGCCGTGGCTTTGGTTCCGTGTTTGATTGCGAAATAATTGTTGTTTTATTTATTTTTATTGCGTTACACTTATTTTTTATTCTTAGCGTGATAAAGTGCGAGTGATTCGTGGTGTATTTAATAGATATTACTTGATGTGACACTTACGCCCAGGAAATAAATTTTCAATAAACATGTTGTTATTTATCGGTTGATTGTAAATGGTTATCAGTGTTTATATTTACATAATTCCAGTGTGATGCTCAATGATCTTCCGCGTTGTTAATTATTCTGTTTAATCAAGGAACTCATTAAACACTGCTGTGCTATCTCGTAATTTATGCGTATTGTCTCTGATAGTTATTTTTTGTTAAGTGCTTGTTTTCAATATCAGACAATTTCTGAATCTTAACTGTGGGTTGGATTGGAGAAGTTCGTTTGTGAGGTCTGGGCAAATATAGAACCGACTGTACCTATTGATCGTTTTAATTTGCGCTTACTAATATAATTTAAAAAAGACGCCAAATAATGTCCTATTCTTGAGGTCATCATAAAAATTATAAGAAAGAATTGAACAAAAAAATTAATTGCCTGGTTACTGTAGTGCTTGTAACAGTCATCCTAAAGAAATTTCATTTTTGTTGATATTATATGAAGTGAAACTATAGCAGTTGTATAATGAGCGGCAATTGTCAACATATTTGTCTATGGTGATTCATGTTTTAGTTTGCGTTTCTTAAGGGCCAGTGCTAAGGCCATTTACCGCAGAAAAGTAATTCAATTAAAGTGATTTTTTTCATTGTTTTATAAAAAATTTTGTTTTTTTAATGGAATCAAATACATAAGCGTGGGATAAATAAGTTTTCTATTAATTCTTATTAAAAATTTCGTTACGAGGTTAGATCGGATATTAAAAAAATTACAAGCTTTTTTGAATTGACAATTTAGGCAACATGAAAGAACCAACACAAAGGAGTTCTTATTGGAAGACGGTCTGCAGGAAATTTAAATCACGAAAAAGGCGCGAAGACCATTGCGTTCAAACGAAGATTTCGTAAGACGAGTAAGACAAATAGATGTCAACATTTTCATTAGCTGCCACTGCATCTACAACATCTCTCGTGCTACGTTTGTCCATGGTTAAGAATTACAATTATGATATGTGCAGGCCATAAAATCTTTATTATATAAAAAAAAAACATCACAATTAGCGCACGCTCATCTGCTATTTTTCTTAAAACACCGCTTTGACCTTAACAGAAAGTGTGCCTGCTCGTAGCACTTGACGCAGAACGCGTTGACTCCATTACGATCTACCGACATCTGAACAAACACGGGATGATCTCACCGCTAAAGCCGCGGGCATTGCACAGGTGTTAATTGCCGCAATTGTTTGTTATGTTTCTGATAAGCAGGGCACGTACTCCACTCGAAGCCGTATCAGCGAGCCCATAGACTAAACTTTCCTGAAGTTAAGGTAGTGTTGCCATTGCTTTCGGGGTGGTCGTGATAGTTAGGTCTAGGATAATCAAAACATATATTCTGTTTGGCTTAGCACTTTGTAAGCTGAGATCGGAATACAGTGTGTACAAAGGCGTATGCTATTGCAAGCATCCTTCAAATCCATATGTATGCAGCTGAGTGATCGTACACGTTAAAAATTAAAATTTAAATACTTATAGAAAATATTTTATAAACTTCCAAAAGAATTACTTGTTAGTATAATTCAGTGTATAGACGTGATAGCTCATTATTCGGTCGCTCGCTTCTAATTCAGCATACTCGAGCAAGCTGAGTTCGATCCCGGGTGTCAGCACAAATAAAATTGTTAATTTTAAGTGCTGAATTATCACGTGCTCAGCAGTTATATGGAAAACTATGTCGTTTGATCCGAATTTCAGATAAAAGTACTCCTTATTCAAATACTTCGTCACGAATGAATTTGTTGATATAAATATGTAATTTTATTTTTATTTAATAATGGATAACTAGACTAAAACGAAATAAGACCAAAGTACTTATTCAAACCGATTTGAAAATTTTAAACATTACGGCCGTTTATTTAGACAAAAATTTGGCGTCGTGTTATGACACACCTATGGCACATCTTCGCGCGTATATCTGTCAAGATTTCCCTGTGTTATTCACCGAATGAGTAGTTACACAATGAAACCGTTTACGCAACACTAATCGCGTAAAGTTTCGGGGCCGGGATCTAATTTCAGAGCACACTCCTTAAATGCGTCAGCGTTTAGTACGGTTGTAAGCGGCTTGACATCACTTCCACGTCAATTAATCCTTGGCGGCAGTCTGTAAACACGCAGATTAAAAAGGATGACGCTTAATTAAAAGTTGTCAAGTCGTTAACCGTTGTTTGGCCGAGACTTGCATTCGGCGTAATAATCAACTCGCTCTGCATTATATGCGTGAATGTTGTGCGTTACATTTTCGCAAATTAGTGTACGGTAAAAAATGTTAATGGCTATGCTAGCAATTTAGAAATGAATACAAGTTTAGAGTGCAAAGAATTTGTTGGAACAACACAGAAACAAAAACAATAAAGGTTTTAAACTACAACACGAACGCCCTAAATCGAACAAATTACAAATTGAAAGATTATAACCACTTAAATAAGGGGTTTGTGTTCGATATTAAGTTACTTGAAACGGTGTATTGCCATAATTCGACACTAATTGCGTTTATGGTGTTCGCCATATTTGCCGCTCATAATGGCTATTAAATTAAATCGCGAGCAATGAAAAGCGATGGCTACACCATCTTAATAAGCCGCATATAACAGAGTATATGGTCCAATTAAATCGATTCCGATCCGATCGCACAATTTAACTCACGTAATAATAACATCGGAACATTCCAACGTAACAATTGCGATGCACGTGTTCGACATCGAGGATTTCTCTCGCTCTGAAAAAAAAAAATTAACCCAAATTTCGCAAGAGTTACGGAATTAGAGATAAGGGTTGCCCGGGCAAAAAGCCGTCCGTCCCAACCCGAGCGTCCGAGCCCGGCACACGTGCGAGTCAACAATGCGCCGATGACTCACGTACGAGGCGAGGGCCTATACGTCGACGCCGAAGCTACGCGTATTATTAAGAGAGTGGAGAGAGAGAAAAAAAACGAGATAAGCGCTCAGTCGTCGCACCGCGTCAAGGAATTGTACATCTGCCGAAATTTCTCACGGCTCCGACCGCGCGCTGTATTATTATTCCGGACCACTTCGCTATCGGCCCACGTATAGAACTCGGGGCCGTGGGTAACAGTGGTTATGACAACTGGCCGATCTAGCGGTCTCAATCAATTGCGTCTAATTAGCATATCCAGTTTTCGCACCATCTTTCTCAACGGCCGGCTAATTACGAAACAGTTAATAACGATCTGTTTATTTATAAAGTCATTGCCGTTATTTTATAAAACGCTTTATAATAGCATTGCTGTCAAGTTAATACTACTGAGTATATCTAACGTTGTTAGATAAATGGCCAATAGAGCAATGGTCGACCAGTACACGTGCGTCAATAAATTAGGCTTAAACGTATTGTTACGGATGCATAGAGAAAACGCATTTCATTCCGATACACGAATTGCACAAAAGTATCTGCATTCATACTGAATGTCAATGGAAGCCTGTTCGAACATGTTCGATTCCCTTTCGAACAGGTTGAAACATGCATTATTGAGAGGATTTTAGTTCTTTAGCTTTTTAACTTACTTACACATCCTTGCTAATATTATAAACGCGAAAGTTTGTATTTAGGGATGGATGTTTGTTACTCTTTCACGCAAATACTACTGATTGGATTCTAATGAAACTTTACAATAATATAGCCTATACCTCAGAATAACACATGGGCTATAATTTATATACATATTTTTATGTATTTTTGTCTGAATGTTACGCCTTCACCCTATTCTACGCAGACGTAGTCGCGGGCAGCAGTTAGTAACACATAAAATTGTATAAATTCGACAGATATGTTAAAGCAAGAACGTGTTTTACTTGAGGGGTGTTTATTATGTACGTATTTAAGTAAAAACGTTTCAGTCCTTTATACATATTTAACAGAAAAATCTTTTTAACAGATTTTTTTTTACAAATTAGACATTATAATTTAGGTATTAGGGCTTCGGTGCAAAAAGTTGTATTCGATTCTTTTACGGCATTAAGATTTTAGAAAATTCGTTTTGCTTAACTTTGGTAGTAATAAATATTAAAAGTTAAAAGTGATCAGACTTATTAAAAAAGTATATCATTAATTTTAGAGAAATTCAACTTTTACTCTCTTTTACTTTAGTTTGTGTATTGTAATTAACAGCTAGAATTAAAAATAGATAGAACCGTTGTTGTTATAATTCATCAGGAGATAAATAATTATCCATATAAATAAAATTAGAGTCATTAATAGAGTGACGTTGGAAGCGAAGAGTGTATTTTCAAATAACAGGAAATAGCGATGTGAAATGAGCCACACGTTTACTCACTTAATTTAAGTCTTATGTTTGGCACCAAATTGTTTATTACTTAAATTATCTTGAAAACATTTACACTTTAGTACGATTTATAAGCAGATATGGACTAAACATTTGTTTGCTATGCTTAGTATCTTGTTATATTTTAGGAAATTAATGTAATGGTCACAATACGGAAGTAAACAACTTGATGACAACTCTTTGGTACTGATTAAATAAGTATTCATATCATCATTGAATAAATGAAATTAATGTTCTTAGCCAAAAAGTTATTTTGGTAGAGTAAGGCAAACGCAAATTTTTTGAGTAGGAAATGAATTTCCCGCCAAAATTCTTTGGCGCGAAATTAATTTCCACTTGGTATTGGTGATATTTTCAATACCACAGAATAAACTTCTCGCCATTTAGAGAGATTTTTATTCAGTATTTTAAAATATTTAATTCCAAATTGAAACCTACATACTTTTATATTAGCTGGACATATTTTGATGGTAATGGTTCTAAATCGATTATCGTGCTCAATTCTGTTAAGAAGTATTTAAAAAAAACAAACATCAAACGAAAAGCGCGGCAATTAACGGAAAGTATTTTATTATTCAGTGGCGTGATTTGCCTCGAGCCGTGCACGTGCTAGGGCGCTTGAAATGCGGTGCACCGCTTATGGTAGCCGGCCCGCCGCACCAAGGCGGGGATAAGTGTAGCTCGCGCCAACTCAACATCCCGTTTGACAACTTCTCGATACTGGTTCCAGAGCGAGAGTCGACTTTTACGCCGGCCAGGATCAACCGCCGCCAATGTAACGGACGTTGGTCATTTAAATTTTTATAACATTCCAAACGCCCAAAAAGGCCATTGCTTTGTCTCGGGTTTCGCAAGTGAAAGATAGGAAGTATGCTTAATCGAATTTTATTTGTAACTCGATTATAAAAAAAGTTAAACACGTAAAATAAATTATTACAATTAGAGTAAATTAAAGCTCAGTATCGGATCACAATAAGCCTAGACCTATCATTAGTTTATACAATACAAAAAACGAAAAATATCACAACTATCGAGAGAACAGTTAAAGCTTTACGGGAGTTATCACGAGTTCCGAATGGACAATTCCTAACCTAAACTATATATATGGCACCATAGAACTATATTAAAGCTAACATCACAGACGGGTGTGGAAACCAACGGAGCAGGCACTGGTTTCACGGAAGACACTGATTGGTTTTGTGGGTTCTCGGCGATTAGGCTTGTACCCAGCGGTCTTGGAGAACGGGGTGCTGTTGTTCCGCCGTCTGGCACGCGGTGTAGCACGATGCCGCTGCGAAGTCGCCATCATTCTTGGTGACAGTCGTCCAGAAGAACGTGCCCGCGTCTGTGCGAGCGAAGTGGACAGGTATGTAGAAGTCCTCCCGTGGTACGGGCACCAGGTCGTAGCTCTCGTCCTGATTGCACACGAGGAAGGCGGCGCTTGAGCCGGCGGCCATTTCCTCGTAGATCTTCTTTTCGAGTAGCTCGTTTTCAGAGTTCTGCTCGCTCTCGTAGCACGTGTCGCACGCCTTCACTGGCGCGCGTTTGGTCGTCTTCTTAATGATCCTCATCAGAGGCTTCAGTAGCGCCTTGAGGCCGCTGTTCTTCATCTTCTCGCTGTTGTATTTGTTCTCGTTGATCGAGTTGTTCGTGGAGATGATGTATTCGTTGTTCGCGTAGTAAGACATGTTGTCAGTTGGAGGTGTTTGCGATGGAGCGTGTGTCGCTTTGGAGAGTGGATGCGGGAATGTGGGGCTGCACAGTCGGCCCGCCTTTTTATAGTGCGCCCGCCGCCCCCGGCACAAAAGCTTCGTATACGTGAAAAGCTCGCCCCGCGCATGTGTGTGTGTGCGCCTCAAGTGGTAAATTTGATACTCTATTATGCGTTTCATAAACATTATCGTCTCCATAATAATCTGTAAGTGTTGTGTTAGTGCATGGCGTTAAATTATTGTCCGTTTAATTGGATACATCGTTTCGTTGTGGTCTACGGAAACCGTGAACTGATATTAATTAGAAATTTATTACATTTAACAGGTGTTGTTTTTATGTTTGATATGATTAACACATTTGGTGAATATTTCTGTATAGAGGAATTAAATGTTTTTGTATGTTAATAAATTTATTGTATACAACTTTAATGGGTTTCAAATTTGAAGAAAACCTTTTTGCTGTTATGTAAGATTCAAGTACGATTCTTATTGTACCTATAGCCGGTATTGCCAGATATAGCTTCTTACTCTCGATAAGTGTCATATCATTGTATATATTTATAATACAGATAAGATTTTCATTCAGCCCCTGAGGGTAGAGTCTTCAGTATCCACGAGCTGTCGACACGCCAAAGCGTGCGTAAAAGCACATGTTCATAATAGTTCCCCCAACTATGTTAGAGTGGTGAGTTCATTTGAAGCGATTGTGATCGGTCGCACCCCAATGGGTCACCAAGTCAAGTCACGGGGTGAGCAACCCCATTATTTTGACCCCAACTAGCTCACGCGTTTGGCGCGTGCGTTATTTATTACGCCACTTGAATGCCCCATGACAATTCGCGTGATTCAATTACAAAATGGGTCTTATTTGCATACGTACATTTATAACTTCTGATCATTAAGAAGATCATTCTGATCAATTCAGAGAGTATTAGAGTCAAGCTTTTGGCAACTCAAATAACATTTGAAAATCTATTAGACAGCTGATTAGTTGACTTCTACGATGATCAGTGTTTTAGAAACCGGGCGTTAGAGTCACTGTGCTGACTGTCATCTCAAGAATGTACATCGTAACCTGACTCTATCTCCGGATCGGGCATTCTAGTGGGCCGTTCATTAGCATTATTTCGTTTACAAAAAGAAACATCGAGAATGGGATGCCACCTACGCGTAAACCTTCCCGTACCGGTTCGAACGTGTCCGAAATTTTTTCCCTGTCTCCAGAAAAAAACGCGCGTGTAGAGAAGAAATCAGTGTAGCGGCGATGGCTCGGCGGCCCAATGGGGCGCGCGGATGGCGGCAGGTGCGAGACATCGAGCGCACACATTCGAAGCCCGGTTGGAACTGCCGCCGAACACGTGCATCCGAAAAGGACGCGGATAGCGCCACGCGGGCAGTGCGAGAGGGAGACGCGTGATTTTTTCACCGCGAACGCATCCACTACTCCCCCATATCCGAAATGGGGTAACGCAAAGGCTAATTTGGTTATTGAAAATTGAGGGGTGGTTCGTGGGAATGCTCTCCGCTAGTAGGTTCCCAGGGTTGATCGCACATTGAGGCGTTTTTTTCGCCGCACGCCGCGAGTTTCGCCACGACAGATGGCAGGCGGCGGATTCGGTCCCGGTTTCTGGATGGGGTATCGGAATTAAACATTCCGTTTTGATGCCTCACCGCGCCCCGGGGCGGGGGGATGAAGACGTAAACAAGTGTAAAGGGGTCAGTGGGACTCGGCCGGGCTGTAATTAAATGTCTATTAGGGGCCTTTTAAGATTATTGGGCGGGAGTGTTGTCGGCCGGAATTTTGATTTTGGGGCCGTTTCCCTCCTTTAGGATGATTACGCCGATTAATGTGTTATGATACGATTTTACGTGCCTTAAGGTGAAGTTGAGTTGCTTAATCGCGTTTTGAGGAGTTGTTTTTAGAATTCGGTGTGAGAAACGCTTCGGCTCTCATAATTTTAATATCGTTGATATCTAATCGTGTTACGTAATGTCTTTAATTTTATATCATGACACCGTGCCGTTTTTTTAAATTTTTTCAAGAAAAAAGTTAGCTTTGACGATGCTTAGGTTACGAAGGAGTAATAGAAAATACGCAAATCTCGCCCCTTGACAAGTGTTCACTTGTCTCCGAGATCGTTGGTTCGTTTTTAAAAATACCCATCCCTCGTATACGCGTATTGTTTGGGATTACACTTGTCGCGTTACGCTAGGGGAGTTTTGGGGTGAAGTTATTATGGGGATTCAACGTTGAATATAAGTTAAACACAGTTTGTTCATTTGAAAAAAAGAAGTATTTATATTTGTTGCGTTCTTATATAACAATTTGGATTGGTTGACATTATTGAATATTGGCTAAACATTCATAGAAATAGGTAATAAGTAGAGCTATTCATTTAGAGCGTAGATTAATATAAACGTGAACAAGGCAATGGTTTTGAAACAAATGTATTTAATAAATATGATGTTATTATGATGATCTATCTGTTTGATTTTGTTGGTTAAGAAAGCAATAGTAACACTTTCGCATTATTATAACTAAGTTAGTTTTTTTTATTAATGTATACAGTGTAAACCTTATATAGTAAACTTCTAATCAACGAAAAACTCCTTAAAACGTATTGCTACGGTTCGGTTGATTTATATTGGTAAGGTTAACAAAAGAAGCGCTCTATATAGCGTAACAAAACGTCATTATTTAGACCCCAATAAACATTACTACAGCCCAATAAATATCACATTCACTAGTTGTAATTACCTTAGTCATCTTATGTCTGTAGGTTGTCTTTATGTTATCTTATTATTTATAAAGTTATGTTCTTTTCTTGTTATCTCCGTATAACGAAAACTCTTTTTAATGCTGTTTCGTTTAAAACATTTTATACCTTATCAATGGTAAATAAAATTAAAAAAGGTTTACTCGATTTTCGATTATACGAAATCATTTCTTTGTTGTTTGCGAAAAGTCGTTAAGTAATATACTGGAGATTTAACATGAAAAAAATGTTTAGACAATCAGAAAAAGTAAACGTGTTCCTTTCAAATGCTTTATTGTGTTCAGAGTGTGGGAATGTCGGTTACGGGCTTCGAGAGAATAAAATCGGGGGTGGAAAATCAAGGGTGATGTATAAATCACCCCCTAATCGTTTATTTTTTGCCTCGTACACTTGTTGCGTCACCCACACGATATGCCATTGTGCTACAACAACGTAATGCAGCCCTCAATTTTTATCTGTGGATATTGTACCTTATTCCTTAGCAAACAATATTGTATTCGAATGAGCGCTCAGTTTGAAGTCCATTCTTATCTTTGCGGATAGACCATTTAAACTGGGGATATAATTTTAGGGGTTGTTGAACAATTAATTGAATCACAGGTAAACTTATTTCAAATGGAATAAGAAATCTCTACGTATTATACTTCTCATCGAATAAGAATAAAATAAGCAATAGTGATAGTTTATTAATATAAAATTAAGTATTATAAGTTTTTTATTTAGAAATCACCATCTTCCTCATTTTATGTTTATAGCAATATTTTTGTTTCACAAAAATGTTTGTCGTTTCTCAATTTCAATTTTCTATCATCTCTTTACTATTACAATATCTTTACACTTTTCGGATATGATATATTTACGTTTGCTTTCATAACCAAAGAATATTAAAGCTTCGCTTATAACAAACCCCCAAAACCGCTAGGGTTTAGCACGACCTGAACTCTATCGTCTATGTACAAAATGGCGGGAAACTTATGGTTGATGTAACATTGTATGTAAATAAAAGAAAAAACTATTCAAATAGTGCAAGGCTTCTTTAATTTAATAATCACTGATTTACGTGATTATATATGTTAAAAAAACTTTTAGTCTTATTAATTACATAGGCGTCTTCAAGGTCGACAGAACGAAGAAGTGATAATTACCCCTGTTTCTGGATCTCTCAGTTGTGTTTTATTTTGGATAACTTACATGGAAGTTTCGGGAGTTAATTGTAGAAGTTTCAAATAGGTTCCATCCGAATGTGTATCATCTATCGTCCTTCATATAAATACGCAATTTGTGTGTATGTTCTTTTGTTTTGATGTAAACTATTCCGTCTAAGTAAATAATTAAAACGTGTTCTTACCTAATCTTATATCCTTTATATGAAAAATAAAAAAAATCGTAAATATATCACCATTCTCTGAATCTAAACTCAGAACTCGGAACAAACCTCTTATCGTTTAAACAGAGGTTTTGTTGAAAAAATTGCAACGATTAAAATAATAATTGTAATACTTACAATTAAATACGTGGAAAAATACAGATGAAGTCATCAGCGATTGCTAGCTAGGGACGATAAGGATCGTTTTCTAAACTTCAAAGATTTTAATTAAGGATTCGTCTTGCTTCAAGAGGTGTAATAAAAATATAACAGCTTATCCGACTTGCTCCCTGATACACCGTTTTTATGATATGTAGATTTGATTTGAAATGGGCAGAGGAAAGTAATTTGGGCTCTTTTTAATAGACTATGGTCTGTAGAGGCAGTAAAAACTGAAAGATTATTGACATTTGATTTTCTTACGTTTTACTGCGATGCGGATACAGAGCTTTTTCTACCAATGAATGGTTGGGCCCGACCAAAGGAATATACGTAAAGCGAAACTATTTGAAATAAATAAATATTTCAGTACATAATATTATAGATAATAATTGCTTTGTTTGGGACTAGAGTCCCAAAACTTAGCTTTGAGAACTAAGTAAGTGATGGATATATATAAGCACATGTATTTGTGAATACACAATAATTCTCCAGTAGCATAGATCGAACCTACAACCTCCAGAGAAAAGACAGGTTCACTGTCCACCACTTCAATTGAGCTGTCAGAATTTAAAAAAAAATAGAATGAAAGTTAACATTTTCAACAAAATAAATAGTATAAAGAAATAAATAGTACAATAGTATTTCTATACTATTTATTTTTGAAAAGGATCATATGCGGACCTAATTAGTACTAAATAATTATATAACGTTTTGTGACCATTCTTATAAGAATTGTTTCGTTTATGTATTATTTGATAAATGGCAATTTGATAGCTCAATATTTATATAAAGTAAATTCTAAAGAATTCATGCTATTGGTACAATCAATCTTGTTTGTCAGGTCTTACATATAACTCAGTTTATTGCTCTCTATG